GCTGTCGCCACAGGCTGTCGCTACCCGACAGCGCCGACTAATAACAAAGATGGCGCAGACACCGCGCAGTGGAGGCACAGTTAGTGACCAACGGAGCAAAAAGCAGTGATCATCTGTCTGAACGGTCAGTTAACTGAGTTCACTATAAAGTTCACTATAGAGTCCCCGCTCTATAGTGATGGAGGGATTTAGGGGTTAAGGCGGACGGACACAGTTAGCTGGTATGAGAACAGCTACTTTTAACCAGACCGTGCACGAGGAGGAATGGGCTGGTGCACGCTCTCGCACACGTTTAATAGGTGTTTCCTCTAGGAGCGGGTACAGGTCTGTGCATGGGCAATTTTTTCATAAAGTGGAGAGGCCGGGTCTTGTAAAAAAACTCGTGAAAATCTTCCTTTGCAGCTTTAATACATGGATTTTATTGACGGACTGATCTCCCACTCAATAATAATGCGTTTAAGAACATTTTAATGAGAAACTCCCTGAAACCTCATGTCACCAAACACATGTCCCTTTATTACCAGTATTGTAAGTGAAATGCACGGCAATTATCCATTAAAAATAACAAACATATGTTGTCGATTAGCAGCTCTTTGTAACTCAGTTTCATGATTTTCCTTTGAACCTCAGACTTACTGGTGTTCGATCTGGAAGTTGAGGTGTCCGCTGAACCAGTCGTTGAACCAGGACTGCTCAATGTTGCACGTGGCTTGCAACTGAAAAAGATCATTTAAAAAAATCATCTAAATATTTGAACTCCTGCTTTGGTTCAGTACAGCTGGAAAGCAGAAGCTGCAGAAGATTCAAACTGTTAACAGGAAGGAACAGTAAACCCGCCGGCTTGAACTAAGACAAGCTTTAGTCTTTTTATGGGCTTTGATTACTGTGGATGATTGATGGATGATTGATGGATGGTTGATGGATGGATGATTGATGGAGGACCAAGTATGTTGGGTTTTTAATGTAATCTTAAACTTTGCAAAGACAGAAAATGAAGCAGAGAAGAAGAAACCCTTGGAAGGAATTAGTGAAAACTTTACAATCCCACATATCTGCATCTTATCAACAGTTTCCTTTCTTAATCTGGTGAGATTAGGTTTATTACCTGCTGCTAAGATGACTCTGAATACACACACGCACTTTAACAAAAGAGTAGAGAAACATAGAGTCCCAACTGAGGCCCTCTGAGATTTACATCATATAATCAAATGTATTCATTCAAATATCCAAAGAACTGAATTCCAGTTTTCTAATCATCTTTCTGACTGTAGATGCATAAAAACCCAGCAGGCTGCCTCTACAGATGTTTGTGAAGGACAGGTTGCTGTCTTGACCTCAGTGAGTTCCAGTTTGGGGCTATGATGGACGCTACTGTGGAGAAAAGGGCCTAATTAAAGGCCACCGTGGGCTGAACTCAGTCAGTCTGTCTGTCCAAGAAAACTTCTAAAACATTTCTGTCAGCAAAGCTGTTTATTCCTTTCATCCTGCAGATTTAACTCCATATCCA